CTGAGGGTTGCGATCCGTTGCCGGACACGGAAAAAGACAAAAAAAAAAAAAAAAAAGAAAGGAGTTCATGATTTTGTTTTATTTTTATATTCATAGATGTAACATCAGAATTTCTGAGGAATCTTTAATTCTGTTCTTATTGTTACTACTAAGTAAATTATGACATGAGTGGGTTTTAATTGATTTTTATATTTTATTATTTTTTTAGAAGATTTTCACTTCTTTATGTGCTGTTACATTTTATTCTTTTGGGGTGGGTTGACAGTTGTTTTTTTCTTTCAGGATAATTGCTATATTTATCATTAAACAATGCAATATTTTTTGTGGACCTTTTTGTTTTAACAGTATGTTGGAGAAACGCTTTTTGATGAATACATATGTACGCTCATTTTCAAAACTGTGCATTTATTTACCCAACAGTTACAGCAGCACATTTAAAAGTACTACAGACTCTTATTCAGACATATCTTCAAAATGAGAAACTAGGGCCTCTTCCGACCATTACTATATACTCCTATTATATATATGAAAACATGGTCAATTATCCTCGGTTCCTATATACAATAATTAATATTGAAAAAATCTGACTTCTTACCTGTACACATAAAACTAGATGAAGTATGCTTTGAGGAAAATGTCACTGGTTCCCAGGTGCCAAGAAGTGGCTAAAGTATCAAGAAAGGTTAAAGATTTGTTGTCTACATAAAAGAACATGAAAGAGAGGCTCCTGTGAATCATTTGTTTTGAGTCATAATTATAAGGAATTTGTTAATCCTTATAAGAGATAATACACTTTATCAGGTTAATCTACAATAATTAATTACTTTTCTCACCTATATCCAAAAATCCAGACTAACTGATCAGTCATAATTCATATTTGTAATATTAAGTTCATGCTAATATCATAGCATTTTTCAGAGATAAAATATTCGATTTTGAATCTTTATCTCTAACGTGGCCCATGTAGTCAAAGGTGTCCAGAAATATAGAGCATTTTCATTAGAGAGTTGTATTATTGACTTCAAACCCATTGTTTGGGGGGAAAATGCAATATACGGAGAAGGTACTTTGAGTTTTCATTAGGAAGGAGACTTAAAATATTTTATATTACAATATGAAAACTTGGACCTTAAGTACACAACCTCTGTACTAGCTGAATGGAATACTAAGAAGTCAGCAGGTATGGGTTAAGATAAATAAAATAAATTTAATACCCTTTTAGAAATATCCAGTTGCATAATGCCAGATAGCAGCCAGATAATCTGCCAAGTCTTTCATTTTTTTAAAAAATATTTTGACAACTTATAGAAACAACTTAATTTTACCCATATGCTTTTCTTCATGTTTTCTCTTTGGCCATATCTGTAGTGACATTTCCCAAAGGTTCTTATAAAAATGCTTTATTTTTATGAAATAAAATCCATCAAACAAACTTTGACTTCTTAGCCATTTTTTATATAACTCATTTTATTTCAACCCACCAGACAATGATCACTTCATTTATTTGACCTTTCAGTTTTTCAGTACTAAATATTTATTAAGTGCCTACTATGTGGTAGGCACTATGCATGATGCATTTACTTATATTTTCCATCTGGATCAACACTACACACACACACACACACTCACACACCCACATACAAACACACTCAGAGGTACTATAGTAGGCGCTAGTTATATAATTATAATAATCAATAAGGTTGCACAGTCTTTGCACTTTAGCAGCTAAAGGTTTAGCACTATGTTTAGCATAGCTGCAGAAGAACTGGGTTGTAAATAGAAATGGCTTCCTGATGGCAAACAGGATTAAAATTAGATTTAAATACAGGGAAGGACAGGTGTGAAAACAGGAGAATTCTTCCACAGAAGGTTTGGTTTCTCTCATCATAAGTTCTCTCTTCATTAGGAATTGCATACCTATAGTGAACACTGTGCCAGCCCTCCTACTTATAATGCTCTGCCTGTATTGTGCTCTGTTTTCTGGTTCCTCAGATGAGCTTAGTCAGCATGATTTAGCACAGAATGCTGCTCATTAGCCTTGCCTAGAGAAGTCATGTTGCTGAACTGCTTTTCGGTTTTAAAAAAATTTTCAGGCCTTGCTGTTAACCTTATTTGTATCATGTTGTTGCTTTTGCTTTATCCATCTTGCTCCTCTTTGTGAGCAACAGCTGTGGCTATTCATGAGGTTTTCCTGGCTGTCTACATAAGGCTGAAGTGCATTTTATAAACTGGCATCTGCGTCACTGCTGGCTCACTAGCTGGCATCCTAGAGCTTCTGGGACATCTGACATGGTGGCTTTGAGAGCTACTCTGGCCAGCCACCATAATCTCTTCACCTTTAGTTCATCTTAAAGGGACATCACTAAAACCAGAAGCAACCATTTTCCAATGAATGATGTGCTTCTAGAATTCTAGGTAAAATTGATTATCCAGACGTGTTGGTGTTAACACATATCAAAGACATCCACATTCTTTATCATAAGTTGTTTTAGAATATGCAAATATAGAAATACTTTCTAGGGGAATGTCTTTATAGCATTGAACTGTAATATCAGGATAAAGGTAGAGCAAGTAAGGATAGGACCAGGAGTATGTGAGTTTAGGCATGGCTGAAGGACAAATAGCCATAGTCAGGACAAACGATATAACAGGCATTTAGAAGGTCTAGTCAGATGGGTGAAGAAGTCATGTAGCTATTGCAGGTGGCTAGCTCATAGTGGATACTTAACAAATCATTGTAGGAGTAGGTGGGATGCCCTGACTATCTAGAGATACCTGAAGTAAGATTACGAATGAATAATTGAATTAATTAATAAGTAGTTGAATTTAGGGAGGTTTGTGAGGTAGGAAAGTTACCAAAGTCAGAGAAAACAACGGTCTAGTCTGACATAATGGAGTTTGAGTCAGCAACACTATCCACCAAGAACAATGAAATATATTCTGCTCATAGAAATGGAGCTGTTTGTCCTTTGGCCTATTTTATTCTTCCAGCTGTGTATCATCAGCAGTTCTGAGTCCCAGGTGAGTAATTATAGTTGGAGAAAGTCAAGGGCCTGCAGGTGCATCCTGTGCTTGATTGGAACAGGGGCAGAGGTGCTAGGATTACCAGGAGGTTCTTACATTAGCATTGCTTATGAACATTCTCACATCCAAGTGGAGTTTTATGCACAACAGTGGAATGTGCCCAATTTGTAAGCCAATGATCTCCTCAGATATCCACAGCAGTCCTTCATGTGCATCTGCTTCTAGGCAATCAAGTAACCCAACCAAGGTTTATGAAAGCATTTTGCAGCCAGAGGACATACTAAAAAGTATTAACCCTTCCTCCTGGTTTCAGGCACCATTTTAACATAGATAATCAGAGATTCTTTCATGTCAGGGTGGTGAAGACTGGGATCCAACTAGAATTAGAACAACATAATCCTACCTTAGGTATGTCTAGATAGTCAGGGGGTCCCACCTACTCCTACAATAGGGTATCCATATTTCATTGTATGTCTATAGTTTATTACCCCTTCAGCAGGTAGAACAAAATCATTAATGGTGTAGGTAAGCAAGTGGCTGCTTTCGTCAGATTTCTAGCTGTATTCTAATCATCCGTTTTAATGAAAAATAGTGATGTGTTTTAGAAATGAATCCTGAATGCTTACCAGTCTTTCAAAATTATTATTTGCAAGTAATTGGATTTAATATGTACTAATAGTTTCATGAGTCTTTGCTCACTACATTAAATTTTTAAAATAATTTCTCTTTCAACAACATAATTTTGAAAATACCACTATATGAAGTAAGTCAGGCACAGAAAGACAAATACTGCACGATCTCACTCATGTGGAATAAAAAAAAAAGTGGTTCTCATAGAAGTAGAGAGTAGAAAAATGGTTGCTCGTGGCTGGGAGGGGAGAAGGGTGGGGGGCAAGGGAATTGGTGGACTAATGGGTACAAAACTATGCTATCTACCCTAAGTGAATCATTGTGTAGTATATGCATGTATTTAAACAACACACTGTTCACAAATATGAACAAGTAAATGTTAAAAGAAAAAAAAAGAAAGAAAATACCACTATAACTTTTCCAGTGTAGTCCTACTAAAATCTATGGAGACTAATACCTTGGGTAGCTGTATTCACTGACATTTTGTAGAAAAAAAAATGCATGCACATTTTCTCTAAGGAAAGACTGGCTCTGAGCCAATACAGCAAAGGAGGAAAAAAATACACTGACAAAGCACAGTTATCTCCCTGACTAAGTGTGTGAAGGAAAAACCCTAATTTGGCAATACTGGAAGGATGTATATTTCGAAACAATGGCTTCTTTTGGAACTTGTGTCAAATAAGTTGGCCATGGCCTGAACAAGAATAACTGGCAATGCACTTGTATAAAACGCAGCTGCTGTCTCTAATATTTGGTAATGAACTGCTTTTTGTATATGAAGATGACAACACTAACCAACTGGAAGTATGGCATGCGCTGTGAGTACTGTCTCCAGGAGTGAGACTGGATTATTTCAATCTTCCACACTCTTGGTTCCAGTGCCTGTTGGATCTTTTGCACATATTTGTGCAAACAAGGTATAGTCTATGACTAAGTAACAGAGCCAAACCAACTGGCGCATAAAGGGATCAAATCCATGACTTTGGTCTATTTAGTCCTGCATTCAAACACACTGAGTTAATCATTCACACATCACTGAACATCACAAATGTGTATAGTCACCGAAAGTCACAAATAATAATTGTCTTTTATTCTGTCCTAGCTATAGGTGGCCTATTGCATAAGAGTTTCAGATCATGTAATAAGACTGGGTGGTGTTAAATGAACTAGACTTCCTATAACATGGCTTGTGACTTATTGTTTTCCAATTATTAAAGACAGTCACTAATTATAGTGCTTATTTCAGCCTGTTAGTGGTTATAGACTTTTAGTACTTAAAGAGAAGCTGCTAGTACTTCCAACACTTTTGTTCTTTGTATTTAAGACAACAAGGAATATGATGCCTATCTCTCTTACACAAAAGTGGATCAAGATACTTTAGACTGTGACAATCCTGAAGAAGAGCAGTTTGCTCTTGAAATACTGCCAGATGTCCTGGAAAAACACTATGGATATAAACTCTTCATCCCAGAAAGGGACCTGATTCCAAGTGGAAGTAAGTACTTTCGAATTTTGTATTTAAAATGTTCAGTTTCTTTTAGGAAGTTATATAGAGGCTTCAAAACTCAGAGCCAAGTATTTAGACAGTTGTTTTTCACAGGAGATTTTATTGAATTCAAATTTACCCCCAATGCCTGTGTTCTGAATTTTTTGTATCTAAATTTTTTAAAGGTATTCTCACTTGCATTTTGTGCATGGTTTTTAAACTGTGCCTTAATGGTGTTTTCTTTTTTTTATATTGTCTTTGTGTTTTGAGAAAATTATGATACTTTAAAAAAAATCTGTAAAAGTCAGTTAAAGCTTTTTTAATGTACTTGAGTTCCAAAGCTGGTCTTCTGTTGTGCTTCTACTTACACCTGCAATCAGTATCACTAATAACACTAAATCAATGCCTTTCAACCTTGTTATTCATTATGCCTCGTCACTCATTCCCAGATTTATGGGAAAAAATCCAGTTAAAAAGGTATATGAGGCCATTGGGTACAGCACTCGCACTGTATATTTAAATTATTTTCAAGTTCTGGACACTGCAGGCTTGAATGCTACTTTTACGTTATGCTACATATTGAAAGCTACATTTGAGCTTTCAGAATAAATTCAGTTTCAAGTCAAAATCTGTACGTTGTTCCTGTTAATGTTCGGAGTACATACTCATACACAGTAACGTGTAAGAAGAATAAAGAGAAGCCTAAGATATCTGTGCTCCTGGCACTGAAAGAGCTTAAAATGCCATTGAGGGAAGTTAAAAGTGCTAGAATTTATTTGCATATGTGTCTATGTTAATATGCTTAAGAGGAGAAGATTGAACTAGTGACTACAAAAAATGTTAATTTAAACACGTGATAACAAAATTTAAAAAGCTTGTATTTTCAGAACTTGACAGTATATACACATACACTATTTCATTCCTCTTTACAGTAACCCTGTGTTGAGAAAGAACAGGTACTAACCTCCTCATCTGCAAGACAAGCAAAGCCTCAAAGATGTTCAAGATCAGACAGCTGGCAAACAGTGAATCTGGGATTAGAACCCAGATCTGTTTAACTTTGGTTCTTACTCTGCTAGATCATGATGTTCCTCAATACCATTTATTCAGATTATCAGCAGTCCACCATGGTCGCCAAACTGACACGAGACAAATGGAAACAACTAAGTCTTGGTTGTTCATCTCTTTTCTAAGGTTGCATGTATGTCTGGTATGTTTGTGTGTGCACATTAGTGTGCACACTTACACATGCATAGAAAGGAATATAAAAGACAATATATACTGGTCCATTACTTTTGTGCCCCACAAATATAAGAATTCCCCAGGCTCCTTCCCATGGTCCTCCACTCTTTTCTTTCTATAGTTTCCCCCATTTTCATAACTTGAAGTATCATTCTATATTGATCCGTTCCTCAAGGAATATCTGGATACCTCAAAGTCATTTTTTATTCTTCTGTGTTCTTCTTCCAAACCCAGTGTCCCTTGCATATTTTCCATTCTTACTTCTACCATCCTAGTTAGGTCCTAATTACCTCGCTCCTGCAATGTGGATTATCTCTCCACCTTCTTTATCTTTCTTCCCATCTATCTTGCCACACTAATGCCTTGTACACCTCCTTGATCATGTCACTCCCCTGTTAAACAAACTTTAATTATTCATTATTTTCTACAGGATAAAATTCATAACTCTTAGCTAAACACTTCTACAATCTGCTGCCGGGCCAGATTTACCTCCTAAATTTTTCTTCTACCATTTTCCCTAGTTATGCTCCACTCTAGCCAAACTGTGCCTTTGATGTACATTGTGTACCCCTGCAAAGTTTTTGTTGATGTTAGTCTTTTATGCCTTTGCAAATTCTTTCTTTTTTTTTTTTTTTAAAGATGACCGGTAAGGGGATCTTAACCCTTGGCTTGGTGTTGTCAGCACCACGCTCAGGCAGCGAGCCAACCGGCCATCCCTATATGGGATCCGAACCCGTGGTCTTGGTGTTATCAGCACCGCACTCCCCTGAGTGAGCCACGGGCCGGCCCCTTGCCTTTGCAAATTCTATTTATCCTTCTCCATATCACTGCCTCTGTGAGAAGTTCATAATAATCTCTCCAGCCCTAGAGTTTGTGATGCACATTCACTTGTTTGACTATAAATTCTGTACTCCTGTGATATTTTGTAGTGCTTTATAATTTTATGTAGATTTCCGTATATTTACATCCAATCTAGTCAGCAAGATTACAAGCTCCCTGAGGACAGGTACTGTATCTCATGTATCTTCATATCCCCATTGCCATCTAGCAGAAGATTTCTGCTCAGTAGGTGCTTTGTAGATGCTTGTTGATTTTGTTTAAACAGTGCTGGTTTAAGACAAGAAGAAATAATGCAAATGTAATAAATAAGAACTTAAATTTTTGCAGGACAGTATCTGAAAGTCATTTTTTCTTAACAAGGTGAATGTGAAAGCTAGAAGGGAGCTTTCTACCAAAAGAAGAAAAATGTGGGTAATTCATAAGAATAATCTTGGTCCATAGAACAGGCTAATAAATATATTGCTATTTTTTTTTCAGATAGTAAAAGAATAGCTGTAAGAGTTTGATTAATCATTAATGAAAAATTAAAAACTCTCCTCTACTATTTTTGGCCTAATTCATTAGATTTCTATATGTTTTTAAATTTTTACCAAAAACATCTTGTTAAATGTAGAAATTCTATAGCATCTGTTTTTAGAGTGATAATATCCTAAATTGCATTAAGGGAATATCATTACCAAAGTGGAATCTATAACACATGTCACATCATCTTCAGTAGTACTTAATGTGGCGCTGGCCTTTCTGCATTCTTGCATTCCATAATTGTTAACACCACAATGGAAATTCTTTATCAACCCGAACAAGTGACTGAAAAATGTCAGTCTTCATATATGAACACCTCAATATACTTATCTTTCTTCTGAACTGGAAAACAGTGCTTCATGGTTTCGCACATTAGAAAAGAAAATGGGGACAACATGGAACACAGGTTATCCACTTTATCTGAGACTCAGTAGATGACACTTTCTTATTGTGTAATGAAGCAGATACTGTGAGTGGGTGAGAGCAAGACCCAGAAAGCACGGGAATGAGAAGGATGTGTTCCAAAGTTCTGTCCTCCTGGAGTTCCAGTTTGATGACTTGACAGATCAATTGAATCAAACCACTCTGTCAATTTAGCCAGATAGTAGAATATTTTACACTTCATTGAGTCAACTGGTTGTTTGGCTCAATTGATTGAAATCAGTCAGTCGTTTTATTGTACCATAGACAGCCTGAAAGTTTTCTTTGATCATGGAGTATGAGGCTTGTGCAAGCTATAAAATCTCCTTGTTGAAAACTACAAGATTTTAGTTAAGGACTATAAGACACTGCATAAAAGATGATTGGAGGTACTCACCTAGTTTATTTTATTTTATTTTGTCAAAATACAATGTGGTTGATTATTGCGGCCAATTACCGAAACCTCCCTCCCTCCTCCCTCTCCCCTCTCCCTGTTTGCTTGTCATATCAACTTCAAGGAATTGTAGTTGTTATGTCTTCTTCCCCCCCACCCTGGTTATTTTGTGTGTATTTATTTATTTATTTTTAGCTCCCACAAATAAGTGAGAACATGTGATATTTCTCTTTCTGTGCCTGACTTGTTTCACTTAATATAATTCTCTCTATGTCCATCCATGTCATTGCAAATGGTAGTATTTCATTCTTTTTTTAGCAGAGTAGTATTCCATTGTGTAGATATACCACATTTTCCTTATCCACTTATCTGATGATGGACGGGCTGGTTCCATCTCTAAACTATTGTAAAGAGTGCTGCAACGAAGAGTGGAGAATAGGTGTACCTTCAACTTGATGATTTCCATTCCTCTGGGTATATTCCCAGCAGTGGAATAGCTGTGTCGTACAGTAGATCTATCTGCAATTGTTTGAGGAACCTCCATACTATTTTCCATAGAGTCTGCACCATTTTGCAGTCCAACAAAAATGTATGAGAGTTCCTTTTTCTCCACAACCTTGCTAGCATTTATCATTCACAGTCTTTTGGAAATTACCCATCCTAACTGGGGTGAGATGGTATCTCAGTGTGGTTTTGATTTGCATTTCCCAAATGCTGAGTGATGTTGAGCATTTTTTCATATGTCTGTTGGCCATTTGAATATCTTCTTGTAAGAAATGCCTATTTAGCTCTTATGCCCATTTTTTAATTGGGTTGCTTGTTTTTTTCTTGTAAAGTTGTTTGAGTTCCTTATATATTCTGGATATTAATCCTTTGTCAGATGTATATTTTGCAAATATTTTCTCCCACTCTGTTGGCTGTCTTTTAGCTCTGTTAATTGTTTCTTTTGCTGTGCAGAAGCTTTTTAGTTTGATATAGTCCCATTTGTTTATTTTTCCTTTGGTTGCCCGTGCTTTTGGGGTCATATTCATGAAGTCTGTGCCCAGCCCTATTTGCTGAAACGTTTCTCCTATGTTTTCTTTAATAAGTTTTATTGTTGCGGGGTGTATATTTAAATCCTTGATCCATTTTGAGTTGATTTTAGTACATGGTGAGAGATATGGGTCTAGTTTCAATCTCCTGCAAATGGATAACCAGTTATCCCAGCACCCTTTGCTGAAGAGGGAGTCCCGACCCCAGTGAATAGACTTGATACCTTTGTCGAAGATCAAATGGCAGTAAGTACGTGGGTTGATTTCTGGGTGCTCTATTCTATTCCATTGATCAGTGTCTCGTCCAGTCCTACTTCCTGAAGTGTTTCTCCTATGTTTTCTTTAAGAAGTTTTATTATTTCAGGGTGTATATTTAATTCTTTTATCCATTACCTTGACATTTAAAAGAATTCTACATAAAAAAATAAAATAAAATAAAAACACCAAGACAATATCGTCAGGATGGTAGAGATTTTATAATCCACAGAAGACAATTTTAATTTTCTTTTTAAGGTTGTACAACCATCAGACTGAGCAGGGGCTTGGATCTTGGGTCCTCA